CAAAAACCATGCAATAAACCATGCATGTGAAATGCAAATTCATTACAGTCCAGTGCTTCAAATCATAGCCTGATGGCAAACAAGGATTCAAACAGGCAAGTTCAAATCACTCAAAATTCACAATTCTTTTAATTCCCTCTTATATAACTTATGAAAAGGATGATTATGACCATTAATTGCTGCCTTACGAGCTCCAGCAGTTATGGATAGACCTTAATTTCATCAGGTCGTCTCTTTAAATCCATGACTACATTATTCAATAAAGAATCATTCGATCCAATTTACAGATCAATACATGCAACGGATTGCGATGTGGAGAAACATTTGCAGGACCCAACTCACCAAATAAGCCGTCAATTTGGACAGAGAACTGGACAAGTCAGTAAGTTTCATCAATTACTCACACAACTAAAATCTTCTAGCTTGCAAATTCTAAACAAGCTCCTAGGCTTAGAACAAAACAAATAACAAAAGGCATAGTCAGCCAAGAAAAGAGACAAACCGATGGATTTCCAAGTTAAAATCACCTAATAACCCAGAATGAAAAGATACCAAAGATTTGCTGACATTGTGCAACGGCACTTTAATTACTGGAAATCACGAAACCATAATATTATCGCATAAACAACCTTCAAGATTTTCATCTCAAATAACATGTACTATTATTTTTTCCACATTCATCCAAAAAAAAAAGAGATTATTAATTTACTACTGACTATGTATGTTACTCTCCACAGCTACCTAGTGTTCGGTGAAGACCAGCATACCAGATCAGCTGAAGACATTGCATTCCAAGTTGCGCTGTTCGTAGCAAAGAAAGGGAGTTATGTCAACTATTACATGGTACACTACTCATTATACAGAATCATCATTTTGTTCTGTACCACTCCAAATACCATAGTGACATTGAGACTACTCAGAAGAAACGATAATTACTCAACCAATGAGAAGAAAACACAAGGTTTCAATCACTGCATTTAACACTGGACACATGCAGAACAGAATAGTTTTTCCTCCTTCACAGGAATACACTTTTATTTCAGTATCACGGAGGGACGAATTTTGGACGAACAGCTTCTGCATTTGTGACAACAAGTTATTATGATCAAGCTCCTCTTGACGAATATGGTATGTGTATATGTACCACATCTTGGCATAAGAGCTGTATGTGCTTCATACTCTACATTGTATGCTTCAATCTAGGTTTGATGAGGCAACCGCAGTGGGGTCATCTCACACAATTACATGGGGCAATCAAGTTATGCTCAAAGGCATTACTCTATGGAACCCCAGTTAATATTAGTTTAGGTGGACTTCAACAAGTACGCACATCATCACAGTGATAATGCAGTCTAATTGCATGCTTGGAGTAGCCAATGGCTTTCTCAAAAGTTCCTCTGCTTTGACTTATTTCAGGCCATTGTCTTCAGAGGATCACAAGGAATTTGTGCAGCTTTTCTGATAAACAATGACGCAGGAAGTACAAGAATCCTCTTTCAAAATATTCCATTTGGATTGCCTCCAAAGTCTATTAGTATTCTGCCAGACTGCAAGACGGCAGTTTTTAACACAGCAGAGGTATGAGTTCGATAGAGTTTGGACTTCGAACTGCAAAAAACACGTTTAGTTATTGTACAAAAGGAATATTTAACTTTCAATCGTCTCCATAATTGAAAACTTTAGATTTTTGGGGGGTCTATATCAGAACTCAAAGATAAAAGTCGAAACTGTTTGTACTACGTCTGGTCAACGACCTGGATTTGGATGGTCCTTGAAGCAGTTATTAATGCTGACTATGCTTCGAACAGACAAGCACAAAAGTTAGTACAAGAACAATGACAATCAACCAGAAGCTTGATTCCAGTGACAAATGGCAAGAGTACAAAGAAGCAGTAGTTTCGTTTGACATGACTTCCTTCAGAGCAAACACTTTGTTGGATCACATGAACGTAACTAAGGATGCATCAGACTACCTTTGGTACACATTCAGGTGACGCACAATCAAAGCATTTATCATCATCACGCTCCAAAGTTTTTTAAACATGAGATAATATAGGTTCAGCTAAGAGCTTGTTTGTTTCACATTGGTTAATGCAGGGTTCAGCAAAACTCACCAAATGCTAAAGCTGAACTGGATGTGTTCTCTCATGGGCACGCATTACATGTATTTGTGAATGGAGTATATGGAGGCAAGCCTTCTAATTCCCTTCATAGTTTTACTATTACCCAAGATTAGAAAAGCACTTGAATGGGTTGTTTTCTGTCCTGGGCACGCACTACATGCAGTGTTTCTCAGTCAGACCAATCCCCCAACCCCCAAGGTGGCACCCCCTAGGCAGAGTATGTGAAAAGAGGAGGAAAAAGAGAAACAATGCAGAAAACGTACAAACTTAATAAGAAATTGAATTAATATGCTAGTTCCAAGAACATCTTTCTTTCTTGAGAGGACATTCTATGTTGGGCCTCTTCAACACTAATAAATGGCAAGTGAGAGGACATTCCATCTTTGACCTCTTCAGGTGAATTGCCATTCCTCGGTTCAATTTGCAGTATGATCTCCCAAATTCCTAATACCATTATGTACAACTACATTTAATTCTCCTAAAATGCATATTACAAAATAGTGATCAAAGCCAACCACAGTGCACACTGGTCCAACCCATGTACTTCTTTTAGGCCCTAATATGAACCCACAGCATTTTGTGAACGTGATTGGCTTGATTTATGGGATTAAGACCAGGCAAGTGTTTTCCTTGAAACTGCAGAAGAGAAAATATAGCGGAGGGCCAGAATGTCAGAAATTTGTCAAACAGAACTGTAGTTGTCTAAAATAGTTGAAAAATAGAAACTCCCTCATGGATTGCCACCTCCAGCAATTTCTTCACTCAACAAAAGTTGTTTAACGCAACACTTAGTGAAGCAGCACTACTCGTGGCAAGCAGTACATGACACATGTTGGGAGAAACAATTTAAATAGAATCTGTGACTGATTTCACCCAGCGATTGCATCCATGGACTCTACAGTGTTCGTAACAAAGAGAATATCAGCAAATCTATGGAGAAATTAATAGCAAAACAATGAGCTACTTTTTGGTCCCAAAAGTAGAAATAGAGAGTGTCCAGTTCAATAATGGATCAACAAATGACCGGGTGAAGTAGCCTTTTTTCAGTGGCATGCAAGACTATTATTCAATGACGCTCAATGATTTGATGTTAAATTATGGACGCATGGTTTATTCACAGCCTCAATATGCACGTCATCTGTTTTATGTATTTTCCTTACCAGGATCTGCTCATGGAAGTCATGACAATTCAACTTTCAGTCTGCAGCAATCAGTTTTCTTCAATAAGGGGATAAACTATATATCCCTGCTTAGTGTCACAGTAGGATTTCCGGTAATGTTCAACATCATTTCCTCATCCGACTGTATTCAAATTTCAAACCTTTGCTTTAGTATTTAAGGTTTTAGGATCTGGATGACAAATATGATTATCACTTTAGATTACGTCACACGAAGTTTCCTTGGGCAATACTATCGTATGAGATTCTAATTTAAAATTATTCTGCTGAAGTTGCTCCCTGTCATGTTAACAACTCTCTGTTCTTCTCATGTTTATTTTGCTTTATCAAGATAAAAGACAACCTATGACATCCTCTGTACGTTTGGATGTTAAGAATTCAGGGGCACATCTCGAGCGGAGGATTGCCGGACCACGTAGATTTAAGATCAATGGGGTGGACTTCACAAACTATGCATGGGGCTACCAGGTAATTTTCTACATAGAAAGAATTTGCTTCTCTCAATCCAAAAGGCGATACATGCATAACATAGTGAAGACTTTCACGTCATCAACGTTGTGGTCTCCTCAGAAAGCAAATGCAGTACATGCAATACTTACAATTTGCTCATTTTCCCCTAATCAACTAGAAAAGTTGACTGCACAAAGTGACAATTTGATCTTTTTTATAATTTTTTTTGTTTTTTAATGCTCAGAAAGCAAATGCAGTATATGCAATACTTACAATTTGCTCATTTTCCCCTATTCAACTAGAAAAATCGACTGTGCACAAAGTGACAATTTTTTTTAATGATTTTTTTTTAATGCTCAGAAAGCGAATGCAGTACATGCAATACTTACAATTTGCTCATTTTCCCCTAATCCACTAGAAAAATTGACTGTGCACAAAGTGACAATTTTTTTTTTATGATTTTTTTGTTTTTTAAAGCTAATGTCTCCGTGACATAAAACTTTACCTTTCATGACTCCAAATTTGAATCATAGAAGCCTCTTTCTTATCACTACTTCACTAAATTATTGCTTCAAAAGCAATTTCAAGAAAGAAACAACTGAAAATGATGCATAAAAAGATGTCTAGCATTCAATTTATCTTCTAATACACGATACACAACATTGAAACTTAGAAGGTTAATCACATTCTAAACTGATTCAACTGAATGACTGACAAAGGTTGGCCTCTCTGGAGAGAATAAGGGGATCTACACAGACTTTGGCTCAAGCAAAGTTCAATGGAATAAGAATGGTAGCTCAATCAGTCGACTCATTTGGTACAAGGTATGCATTTATCTGCTAAGAAGATTGATGTCAACGGAAAAGAAAAGTACAACTTAAACTAGCTCTTTACACGACTTTACACTGGATTACATTGATTCAATTCCGTAAGGTCTGACCGATAGAAGAGAAAGCCAATAGTTTACAACAACCTGCTATATGGCTTTTTGGCAGACTGCGTTCGACGCGCCAGTCGGAAATGATCCAGTGGCTTTGAACCTTAGTTCAATGGGAAAGGGCGAAGTGTATGTCAACGGGCAAATCATTGGTCGATATTGGGTTTCATTTCGCACTGCCTCTGGGGTTCCTTCACAAACATGGTATCTTATTTGCTCAGAAATCTGGGTTTGGGATTAGTTGGTTACTAGCAACTCCGTAAAACATTCATCTTATTCATCTCTCATACCTGCTTTAAATTTTCAGACATATAAAGAAGCAAACATCCCCAATGTTACTGAACATCTCAAATACAAAATTCGTATATATCAATTTACAATGCTCTTCAATGATAAAGAATAAATAATGAAGATTTTCTTCTCAGGTACCACATTCCTCGATCTTTCCTTAAACCAAAAGGCAACCTGTTAGTCATACTAGAAGAAGAAAGCGGAAACCCTCTTGGGATTACAATAGACACCATTCAGGCAACAGAACAACAATAGGAAAGGTAAGTGATTCCTGAATTTTCAAGATTACGTTTTACTTGCACCATTATTTTAGGAATTGTCCATGATGCAGGAATCACTGCAAGAAGAGCCTCAAAATGGAATCATAGCATACTAATTTTTCACTTTGTTAACGCCAACAATTGTTTTTTACATTATCTGTAGGCCTGCAGAGAGCAATATCAGTAAAGCAGTAAGGATCTGCTGGTGGACGATCGTATTAGTCATAACAATGGAGAACGATTCCTACGGGTTCTTCCACAGAGGAATCAAATATTTCTTGAAGCTCCTTCCAATAAGCTGTTCAACTGTAGATAAATGCCTTTAAATTTCTTTACTGTCCTTAGGCTGTCTCACATTAAAGTTTTGTCATTATACTTGGATTGCTAGGAAGTTCATCTAAATTTTGACAGCAAAAATCAATATGTGGTTGATTCAATCTAAACATCTTCACAATTAAACAAAGTTTGCGAATTGAGAACTTTCTACATATTTCAAGGAAGCAGCCACGCTAAAGGTCAGAGAATCAAAACACACATCATACAAGAGAATGATGGCAATTTCAAATATCTTGGACAGATTCAGCAGAAATTCAGATTGCAGGATAAAATTGCTTCTACGGTAATTCTAGGAGAAGTCATTGTGTAGCTACACACAATAACAAAAGAAAGTTCGCACTAAAAAGAGTCACATAAAGATATTGAACAACTCTTTTACCAACATCTAACCAAATAAAAAGTACAAAGCAACACAAAAGAATCATGTAACATTAAAAAGAGCATACATGTCTCAATTAAGAAATCATCTGGCCACAAGGACCATAAACTTTGTTACTAAACTTATCTAAAATACATGTCTAGCACCACGAAGTGTGCCAGGCATTCACAAAGCATCAGATGGAGATATCCTCTGAATACAAGAAATGAAAGTCGCTTACTCATGAAGCCAGAATAGCATCTGCATCTGCATCACCAGATGTGTAACCAAGCAGTGACGACTGAGAGCAAAGTCTGTCGGAGAGCATTATCCAAGCAGCCACGCTTCCACTGGGTTTTCTTCCAGACTTCAAAGCCCAAAGTGTGCATTTGTCTCTGACTCTCCATAGCCTTACTTCATTCAACAAATTGGCAAGCAGAGCAATTACCATGGCCAAACCCAATTTGGTACACAGCCCAATTAATCATCCCTTTCTAGTGAAAGCCTCACTCAGCAACAGAAGCTTCTTTATCTATCCTTTCGACCTTTTCATCTTCCTGGATAGTCAGACAATGTGATGGTATGATGGCCTTTTGAGAAGGTAACTCAGCAATGAAAAGCATAGTCTGAGCCCAACCAGCATATTTCCCATACTTGCTCACAAAAGCCTCCGCTACTCGGCCAGAGAGCTTGGGCGTCAGTCGTGCACCAGCAAGCTCAGGTAAAAGATACCTGGTAGCAATCTTTTAAACAAACAAGACAACATATGCAGATTAGAATTAAAAACTAGCAGAACAAAAGGCACACAGAAAACTTCTAACATTCAACGGGTTAAAAGTGTAAAGGTACATACTAATTACGGAAGAAAGTCTGCATGAATGATGTGCAATGTGAAACAAATTGCATAAATAAAACATAAGAACTTAAGTTAGTATCTCTTTCTAGACATTCACAACCATATATTAGAAGTACATATATGGATCTACTGATTTTTTATTTACAATTGCATGCACAGTTAAGTGATAATAATTCAGACAGTAATCACACCTTCTACTGATTAATAAGAAACAAAGAAACTTACTTGCCACACATGCGTATCAACAGGAATGGCATGATGTTGATCAAGAGAGAAGAGAGCTACGCATGCTGCAACTTTAGAACCAACTCCAGATAAAGTACAGAGAGCAGCAATAGCATCCTGTAGATCCAATCCACGCAGGGATGTAAGCCACTCCACACCTCCGCCAGGTTTTGACTGCAAAGTCTTAACGGTGCCCACAATATACTTGGCCCTGCTAAGTCACATTATCATATATTAGGGAAGCATATAGCAAGCCTATCATGAAAAGGAAAGACGGATAAAGTTTGACATAGGTTGACAGTCAAGGAACCAACAAAGCAACAAGTACTTCACAAGATAACTTCCTTAGAGAATCGACAAGATTTAAGATTCTTTGAGAAGGAGAAGTTTACTGCAGCCACATTTGGCAATGCATTTCGAAAAAAAACGCAGGCAAACTACCAACATATCTAAGAACTATAGCATCAGCTTTTAGATAATCCCTTGAATCACATATGAGGCACTCCGGCACCAGTTTATGAGCTTAGTGATCCATTCTAACAGCAATTTCTTCGGATCCGACAAAACAAGGGTATTCAATGTCCACTACCAATGTGCAGAACTCCGCCAACAAGAACCCAAATTAAAACCATATTAACATATAAGAATGGTGAATGCCGATAGAAAAAAGCCATAACTTTGAGAAAATTACGAATGCTACGAAGAGACTCCGATGATTCAAGCGAGTATAAGAAGATAAAACAATCAACCTGTAACCGAAACCAGCCTCCCTGAATTCTTTCTCCGAGACGGCCAAGAGCCGCTCTAGCGACGGGAACTCATAGAACTCCAAACCCTTCACAGACCCCAGATGCCTCCCCAAGGACGAAACGAAATCCACCATTTTGGTGATCCTCGCGATGTTGTTATTCGACGAGCAGAGAAACTGAATCAAGCACTCCAGAGGATCCTGCCTCAGCACGCGAGCACCGCGCAGGAGCCTCGCCAGCTCGGCGAACCTCGAATCCGAGGCCGAGAACACCTCCCAGATCTCACCCAGCCGGATGTCGGCGTTGAGGAAATCCAGCACCGCCGACCGAGCCCCCGCGCCGTCGGGCCGATTGCCGTGCACGCAGTACGCGACGCCGCCGCCGCCCTCCAGGTGCTTTAGGGAGACGAGGTGGGGGCCGACCGCGCCGGTGAACCGGAGGGGGCCGGTGCGCTTCCACCTGAAGGTTTGGCCGGTGGGGAAGGTGAGGGGCAAGGAGAGCTCGGACTCGGCGAGGTCGAGCGGGACCCACTCCGGGGATTCGGCCGCGAGGGATTGGCGCATCGAGACGGGTTTTTCGCAGCAGCGGCGGCGGCGGTGGTGGTGGAGGCGGTGGATGGTTTGAGGGGTCGGAGGAGTGGACGGTGGCGATGGTGGTGGTGCTCGTCTCGGCCTCTTCATGGTCAGTAGGAGAGAGGAGAGCCTTCTCGGGGAGATGGTGGGGGCTAGGGTTTGGAGCCTCTTCAGCGAAGAAGCTCCATGCCTGCAACTGCAGGGGAGGAGGAGCAAGTTAGGAGAAAGAATGGATGACGACGTCATCAAGCTCGCATCATGAAGATCGCCAGAGTCAAATGCCTAACTGATGTCTGGCCAAAATACAAAAAAAAAAAAAAAAAGAAAGAGCGTAATTTGTGCTGTTTTTTCTCTTTTTTTTTAGGAAAAAAATCAGCTCAAATTTTGTTCTTTGTTTTTCTTTTTGATCTCCGAAAATAATGTTTTTTATTTAGGGTTAATACCGCGAAAAATCCCAAACTGGTATGCCTGTGACAATTTTACCCCAAATTAATTTTTTGATCATCAAAAACCCCAAACTGGTACACATGTGACAAATTTACCCTCGATTTATTTTCGTTAAATTTTACTGTTAAATTGCTTTGTTAAATGACACGCGGCAATTGATGAATATACCAATTTTATATTTTACCCCCCGTTTGTCACAGGCGTACCAGTTTATGATTTTTTTTGTATTAATTCAATTTAATGAAAACTAACGGAGAGTAAATTTATCACAAATGTATTAGTTCGGGGTTTTTAGTGGTCAAAAACTTAATTTTGAGTAAATTTGTCACATATGTACCAGTTTAGGGTTTTTCGGAGCATTAACCCTTTTATTTATATCAAACTCTTTTGGGAAGTTATGCAATAGTTACTTATTATATCTACTTATGACTTTCACTCGAAAATGACAAAATGAAAAAAGAAGTATTTTGAATTTTAGACGTTTATGAAAAGTTGTGTACGATTTTACCTAGCATTTAACTATTTTAAAATGTCTCTTATTAAGTAAAATATCGGAGCAAAAATACCGTAAAATACAAAAAAAAGGAAAAATTAAAAGTGGAAATTGCATTACTGCATAAAATGCGTTATAGCTCCTCTTTTTGGCTTTCCAAATAGGAGTGAGCCTCAAAATGGGATAGCCGGACTAAGATTATAAATAAAAAAAACAGAAGATAAGTATATTGAAATGCTTAAAACTTGTCACGAAAGTGCAATTGAGTCATAAAACTTTTAAAAAGTGCAATCGAGTTCTAAAACTTGCCACGAAAGCGCGAGTGAAATAAAGTCTTGAAACTTGTCGAGTTTGTGCGTTTAGATCTTTCCATTAACTCCATCCAACTTGATAAACAAAAAATACTAACAAATTTTAGATCACATGTGTTGCGTTATATTGAGTAGTGCGAGGAGGGTGGGGTTCACATCTACAAGCCTGCCAAAATTATAAGGTATTCCTCAAATGACCTGCATACGAGTTAGAGCATTGCTTTACATCATCACAATTTGCAACATAAATTGCGAGGCCATCATGGTAAAAGCTGTTAATTCTCCTTTGATTTCAAGTTTGGCCCTAATTGCGATGATTAGGCTTGAGACAGGGTACGTATTACAAGCGTGTTCGAGGGCAATGATGTTTTTTCAAAGTCTAATAAAATCTAGATAGATTTGTGAGTTCAAGAGGGACATTACAATAAATGGAAACTTTCCCCTTGGTACCATAGCTTAGATTCATACAAAGCGATTCTCCTTGGTTGACTAAGACCTTAAACTAATTCATCTGAGGTCTTGTATGGATCTCGGTATCCCCTGGATGTTAAATACTGAAAGTCTGCGTTTGGTCGATCGGATAAAAGCCAGGATAGGATATGTGTTTATCCTATCCTGTGTTTGGTGGTGGTCTAGGATAGGATAAGGTCGGATATAGACCGGATATAGCCCGCATAAAAAAATCCGAGGGGGGGTGGGATAGACCTGAATAGGATTTCTAATGTCTATTTTTCCAGAAACCCTACGCTCCACTCGCCGTCATCTTCATCCCCACACCTTGTGCGCTTTCACCAAAAAAATTTCTTAGCTTTTTTTCCTTCACCGACTCCTCCGGCCCCGTGAATAGCCAAAAAAAAAAAATTTATCATATCCGACTTTAAATCTGTAGTCCACCAAACAGTGGATAGGATATAAAGAAATCTCAGGATTTCTTATCCTATCCTATCCAATCCTATCTTGTTTAGAAATCCGGACGACCAAACGCAGCCAAAGGGTAGAGCCCGGTACTGGACTCGAAAAAGATATAGCCAACTTGGGAGACTGGGTGTGTAGGTATCAATATGTTAAAATAAAAAACACAGTCGTGTCGGCCCCTGTTTCTCATTAGGGTGGGTTTATTTCCACTTCCATATAGCTAAAAGCACTCTTTGTTATTGAAAAGTGACCAAAAGTATCCTCTATCAAAAGTATCCTCTAATCCCTTCTCTCTCCTCTCTTGACACAATTGTACTCTTTTCCATTATCTCTTTATTCGCTGTCTTAGGGCGTGAATGAAAATCATTCTCTTTCTCGACCCAATTTATGGCCAGAATTAGAAAAATCTATTTCTATTTCCTGGACGAGTTTCTGAGCAAAAAGTAATGTTTGATAATGGCACAAAATTTTTGTTCTCGGAATAAAAATTCATTTGATAGGTTATTTTTAAATTTCTGTTCTTGGCGGCGATGGACTGGGTTAATACCACGAAAAACCCCAAACTGGTACACCTGTGACAATTTTACCCCAGACTAATTTTTTAATCACAAAAAACCCTAAACTGGTACACCCGTGACAAATTAAATTTAAAAAACCCTAAACTGGTAGACCCTATCTGCGATTGGGGGTGTTTTGCTGGTCCGATTCGCCTGGAATTTGGAGGATAGGGTCGCAAGGTGATCCTCTCCGACATACTCCTTGGATTATCCTTGAGGTGCCTTCTTGGGGTCGCTTGAGCAGATCTGGTTTTCTGCATTTCTAGAACTCGTAGTTCCTGTTCATCTGATTGGGTTCGCTGGGTTTCTGGTGTTCTGATGGTCTGACCCTTCTGGAACTTGGAGGATAGGGGCGCTTGATACTCCTCCTAGTCTTCCTCTCAGTCTGGTTGGAACTGATTCTGGGGATTGGAGAGTGTTGTTGTGTCCCTCTCTGCATTCTATGGCAGCTCTGGAATATCGATGACAGAAAATCCTGACTCTCGTAAGGCAATTCATGATCAGAAGTCTTCCAAGGCTTTGATGAAATCTAAGCAGTCTGTGGTGCTCCCTAAGCATCCAGCTCCCTTTGCAATGGGGTTACCCCAAGCTAACCCCCTCTCAGCCTCGTTGGAGGACAGGTCAAAAACTCTCCCGGTTGCATCAGATACCCCGGGTACCTCTAATGCCTATGCTCATCAGGGTCACAAGCCTCCTTGGCGAGGAAGAAGCCGGGGGAGGAATTTATCTAGGCTTCCTCGAAATGAAACTGGTGTTGCTGAGGATAAGTGCAGAGATGATTCGTTGGCCCCTCGAGTAGCAAAGCAGTCAATGTCCAGGCGGAGCCGGAGCAAAGGTGCTTCATCCCCCAAGGCACCCCAGGTGGGTTCTAAACAAATAACAACTCAATGTTCTTGGGCAACAGTGGCTAGATCCGCTGAACAGGGGTACAAGTTGTCTTATATTCCACCTACTTTGGTTGGGGGAAAACCAATAGTCAATATCTCGGACGAGATTCTTGCGAATTCCAATCCAAAATGGAAGGAATGTCTTGTTGGTTATTATGTAGGCAAAAAGCTTCCTTTCAAGCTGACGGAGAATGCATTCAAGAATGTGTGGGGAGCCCATGTTGTTGAAGTCATGGCAAATGAGGAAGGATTTTATTTCTTCCACATCCCGGATGAGGAAGTCAGGAGGAAAATTGTTGATGGAGGCCCTATCACCATTTCCAGAGTCCCCATGATTCTACAACAATGGCACCCTACCCTTAAGCTGCTGAAAAACCAGCACCAGTCCTTGCCTATCTGGGTAAAATTGAGAGAATTACCCTATGCATTGTGGTCAGCTGCGGGTATTAGTGCGGTTGCAAGTGCCATAGGTAAACCATTGCATGTTGATACACATACTGAAAAGCTGAGAATGATCTCCTATGCGCGGGTTTGCATTGAGATCAAGGCAAATCATCCTCTGCCGGACTCAGTTGATCTTTTCCTTAATGAGGAGAAATGGTCCATTGCTGTGGAATATGAATGGAGACCGAAATCCTGCTTGGTATGTGGAACTTTTGGTCATACGTGTTCCACTACCTCAGTCGCCAATGCTGATGCTCTGGTGGTCGGTCCAGCAACTCAGGGTCCCGAGATGCCTATCCAGGAATCCCCTCTCAATTCGGAAGGGGAATGGGAAACAATTGCTAAGAGAAAAGGCGCAGGAAAGGCAAGTTCCTCCTGTCCTGTACCAGCCCCCGGTGTGAGCTCTGTTAACTCTATGCCCAAGGTTGGAAGCACAAAGGACCAGCCTCTCTTGCCTACTCTTAAATCAAGATCTTCAGCTTCTACTGGATCTTCGGATGCTGAAGATTCTGCCTCTGAGGTAGCCAGTGATATTGGCAGCGATCCTGAAGATGATATGCCTCCTGATATGCCTCCTGAAGTCCCTCCAGATTCAAATTTGTTGGCTGAATCCATTCTAGCTGGAGTATTGGAGCGGGTGACTTCTAAACCCCCTCCTCCTATCCCTAAGAAGGCTGTTCCCAGTCCAGTTAGCAGTTCTAATACTGCCCCAACAACCACCCCGAAGCCTAATAAGCGTTTGGGGAAAAAAAAGCGGTAGCCTCCCCTTCAGGTATCATGTTTTTTGGCGTTTGGAACATTAGGGGCCTCATGGCCCCCGTCAAACAGGCTGAAATAAGAGCTTTTGTGCGATCCAATTTCCTTTCTTGTATTGGAATTATTGAGACGAAAGTTGTTCCGTCTCTTTTTGATAAAGTTTCTAATGATTTGCTTCCGGGTTGGAAATGGATATCCAATTATTCCTCATCCCCTAGAGGAAGGATTTGGTTGGGGTGGAATTCTCATGATGTGGAGCTGGAAGTTGTTTCGATCTCATCCCAGGTTATTCATGGGCTCCTCCGAATTTTGGCTTTGAACAAACACTGTTATTTATCGGTTGTCTATGGTGAACATACGTTTGTCTCCGGGCGGTCCCTATGGTCAGATCTTATTCTCTCAAGCTCTCGGTTTGCCTCTCATCCTCGGATTGTTGCGGGTGATTTCAATGCAATCCGCTTTCACTCGGACAGG